CCAAGCCCCAAAAATATAACCAGTCAAAAACGTTCTTCTCAGTATTTTTTTCTGGGTTTCACAAAGTTAATTCAAAGCCTATAATTTTGAAAACAAAATGTGACTCACTCCAAATGTTATGTTGTAAAAGTTTAAAGTCCCATGTAGACCAATGGACTATTTCAGAGGAGGACATTTAAAAATAGACATGGAAGATAAACTGTACAAATTTTAAATGTTATTTTTTGAGAAAATTAATTCCATAATTTATGGGTTTATAAAAAAAAAAAAAAAATTACATTGAGTTGCGGTTTTGCCAAACTAGGCCAACATAGCTCGGCTGGAAAAGAGAATCTCCAGTCATAAATTCAAGATGTAAAAATGTGCATGTCTATGAAATAATACGTATAGCAAAGCAACACGTTACATTACCTATATATTGTGCAGTTAATTAAATGTATCCCCTCATCCTTTCTTACCATTCATCACCATCATCTAAAAAATACAAACAAGGAAACAATGAAAAAGCTTAAGGGACTACTTTGTAGGTGTAGTATAAGTCACAAGAGCTTAACATCTTTTGGATGAATGTTAATGGGCTTTGAGGTATTTCAGTCCACTAATAGCAATGCAACATCTATCCAAATGATCCCCACACTCCTACTCTGTAAGTATGTGCAACATAAACATTTCAGAAAGTGTAGGGTTAAAATAAAAATCTTTATTCTATTCCTTTAATATCACATACCACACAGGCATTGCAGCAGCTGCTTTGTAATAAGTTCCGCTCAGTAGACTCAAACGTATTGAGTTGTCCCACTTATGTTGCACGTATTTATAGTCTAGCACCATGGAACTGTTTTTTCGACAGATGTTAAAGGACAAGCCTAAATTATTTTGTGACTAATCTAAAGGCAGTAATACTATGTCAAGTGAAGGATAAGGTTATTTATTATAAACTGTTGGAGTGTAAATTATTCTCTGTTACTTAAAGGGTTGCTCCAAGCACGATGAGCACTTCAGTGTTTTGAAGTGATCATGGTGAAAGGGCCCTGTATGTGCAGCCTTTCATACTTAAATATTTATTGTTTTCTTCCAGAGATGCAACTCTTGTTCCAGGCTGGCTAATACCTATTCTGTGCATATTCCTGGAACAGGTGTTCATTCATTAGCTGTGATTGCTAAGCTATCACTCTCAGTCAATGAATGACTGGCGTGATTGGCATGTTCAGCCAGTATTGAAGGAGACACGGTGCCAACGGGACTCTGGTAAGAGGCAAACCGGTGCAAAACAGTGGTCTGTAGTGGCAATGATGATTGGAGTAACCCTTTAACAATAATGTACATAGGCTATTTTGACTGTACATTGGAACCAAAATATACAGATCGATTTTTTACCCAACCCTATTAGTTGGTTCAATATTTTTTAAATAGTGCCAGAGTTCATTTATTTTTTACTATTGAGCATTCAGCATTCACAAAAGATGTCTTCATTTAATTCTATTCCTACAAGGCACTTACAGGCATTTAAGATGAATGCAGACTAGGTTAGTTAATATTGCAGAGTAGGTGTGACAAAGCATTCGGTAGACCAGGGATAAGCAACCTTCAGCACTCCAGACGTTGTGGACTACATCTCCCATAATTCACTGCCAACATTATGGCTATCTATAATATCATTATGGGATTTATAGTTCATAAAATCCTTGCTGTAGATCATATTTTTGAGGAAGTTAGGATCAATCGTTAAACACTCATGGTGAGGGAGGTGATGATTTTCATTGGTTAGGTCTGTGACCTTACAAACCAGTTCTTCAACTTTTGTCCATGCATCAAAGAGATCAATTTGGTCCAATAATTTAAGTAGATGAAACAAAGGAACACCGCACTCACTTGAGAACCTGGGTGCAACCTGACCCAAGGTCGGCCAAACCTCAAATGATAGCTGAAAGACAGAAGATGGTCCTGCCACTCAAGGTTCAGAGAAGAAGCAGATTTATTGGGAGACAAGCTTGACAAAGACTGTCTGGGGTCAAAATGTTGCTGTACACCCTCCCAATAAATATTCTTCTTCTCTGAATCTTGAGTGACAGGACCATCTTCTGTCTCTCAATAATAAAAGTAGATTGGTGCTTGGTTTGGTTAATTTAAGGTGCTTGTGTAAAATATTGGTTCCACAAAACTATTTTAGCTGAGTTAGCTACAATTTAGGAATTGAAGCGGGTAAAGAGGCTAAGGAAGAACTATAACCCAATACATCTCACATATTAAAGACATAAGAAAACGTAAAAAAAAATAATTAAATGGAAAATAGACACACAGCTACTGTATTATATATATATATATATATATATATATATATATGTTATGCTGTTTTATTTTGTACTGATCATACTGTAACTTGTATAAATGGCCAGTTTGTCAAAGCATGAGTTCTGACAAAATGTTTTATACTGTTATACTTTTATATGTTCGAACTTATGCAGTATTTGCTGGTACGCAAATGTTCATCAATGAATTTAATGACTATGTCATTGTATTTAGGTCTAAGCTAAGTGAAGAGGTACTTGAGACATCAACTATGCACTATTTTAGTAAACCATTAGACAGCCAATAAGTATGCACTGTATACTTGTATACTATTGAAAATAAATACGAGGCAAATTGTGATTCGGGCTCCCTAGTCCATTGATGCAATCAGATTGCTGGGGGCTCAGTATTTTATTTTCAATGTCATTCATAGAAAGGATTGTAACAAACTACGGTTGCCACATCATAGAGCTAGTGATTAGGTAGCATTTTTTTTTTTAATGCAATATAATATCTTCAAAATCATGGTTCACTATGAATCAGTAATTTATGGCAAAATGGGTTAAATCGTTATGAAATGCTGCCTTCAGTTTTTAGTTTATATCAGAGCTCTTTAATGCTTATGTGTACTTCTTTTCTTAAAATATATAAAACAGGTTTATTAAATATCTGTTTGTATTGGTGTCTAAAGCATCCTAGTACATTTCCCTACTTAGGGATAGTCATAGCCATCTTATTTTTAAAAATGGCATTTTTTAGTCATTCCACTGTATATACTGATGCATATAAACAAGATTGTTAGCAATTTGTCAGTATAATTATAACGTTTAAATAATACTGTCAGAGCAATCACAATTTGATGATATGATTTATGTTGAGTTTTTAATTGTTTATTTTTTTATATTGGTGATAAAGTTCTCATTACCTATTGTTTAATATTAAACTGTATTTCCTCCTCAATATTTTGAGGAATAGATCGTTTAATACTTTAATACTATTTTCTGATGTTTATTTTATTTTGAATGTTTAACATCTTACAGATGCCTCTAATCACAATGTTTGTTTTATTCCAGATGAAAACTGGAATTGTACTTATTCTATCATGTTTATACTGTGTGTGCAAATTAATACATGTAAATGACAATACAAATGCAGTATGTCTTATTTTTCCTTGCAAAATGATTTATAGTAATGGAGTGCACCGGGCTATTAAGAGTTATTATTATTCATAAAGAGTGAAGACATGTTGAATCCACAGACAAAGCATGGTAGTGATCACAAAACTAAGAGAAATGAATGGAACATGAGTTGATAAAGGCCCTGCTTCAAGTTCTGTAATGGGAGGGCTGGCAAGGGGGGCAACTGTACCCTGGGCCTCAAGCATGTGAGGGCTGGCAAGGGGTAAGACCTGCAGCCTCACATCATCCAAGCAGCAGGCAAAAATTGCACAGGGTCTTGGCTAGTGCAGCACTGTGTATGCTTGTGCAGTCAGTGTTATCCTTGTCTGGACTGGTCCAGTGGGATATTAGTAGGTGGAATGTAGCATCCGAGTCCTACCAGTCCACCCTACTACAATGAGAAGGTATGATGTCCATCATGTCCTTGGAGATGTTTGCTAGTGACCACAGGGTGAGATGAGACAGTGATCATGACTTTCATTAGTGGAAATGGATGACATGAATGTAAACTTGTTCAAGCAGGACCCTCATCAATGTAATGTTTCTGTCAAAATTTGAAATATTTTGCCACCTTTATTGCTAAATCTCCATATTTGTAATATTGTAAAGTACTGAAGAATACGTTGGTGTTCTATAAATGCCAATAATAACAACAGGTAATAAGTCTGAATACTACCTCATACCGATGAAGGTTACAATAAGATGGTGCTTTATAAATTCTAATAATAATAATTCTAATAACAGGTATCAGTCAGTGAGTACTACTTCATATTGATGGAGTTTGTAATAGGTTGGTTCTATATAAATTCTAATAATAATAGGTATTAGAGTCAGTGAATATTACTTCACACTGATGAATGTTGCATTAATATATGATAGCAGATTGTGCAACTCCAGCAGCCTCTAACCTCAAATTTATACATTTATACCATCCACACTGAGATCTGTGAAAAAAAAATAAAAAGAGAACTGACCAGAGAATGTTCTTTTTTGAAGAAATTTTTTTGGTCTAAATATGTAATTCCCTTGTTAATTCACTACAATTCCAGTTTCAGTGAACAAAACCAGACGTCATTAATTGATAAGACCGAGAACCACCACATTACGCAGAGACTGCTTTGACATGGAGGGGGGTGGGGAGGCAGGGGGATATTTATTATGTAAGTGTTGCAGACTCCAACTCACAAAATTCTGTGAACACCACTCAGAGCATTTTCCCATGCACAACATACCAGCCACCATCCCACTGATTGAACAATTAACAGGCGCTCCATGCTGAACATTAAAAAAAAAAAATAATTTGTATAAAACGACCAGGGCCCGTTAAAAGTCCCGATCATCTTCTAAGTCAAGGAGGGTTTGATGCACGTGAATAGTTTCAGATTACACTGACTCCTACACCAAGCTACGCACTGCACACACACTGAAATGGAAATGTGGTGAAGGAGAAGGAGGTGACAGCAAATGGGTCAAGAATAAGAAAAGCTAAGCTTTTTTTATTCTCTCCTCCATTTCCTCTTTTCGTAGATTCCACCGAAAAAAAATAATCTCGAATTCAACCTGTTGAAAGGTTGTTTTTAATAGCAGTCACGTATAGTTTGCCGTAAGCACCTTACTACCACATAATGTCCGCCTACACATTATCTTTGCCTTTTACTTTTTTTTTTGTCTTTTTTTCACAACAAACAAGGGGAGTTCCCAAATGTGTCACTAATATAGCACACATTTCACATCAGCAAAATGTCATGTAACAGGAAGCATTCGCCTCTGAAATACTTTTGTAGCACTTTAAAATACGTTATGCATGTAGAAAAGTGTGTGAGGAAGTTAACTTTGTAAAATTGGTTATTTTGTTATATTTGATCCGAACGCAAATCAGCTAAATGTGCTGTTTTATTCACTAAATGCCAACTAAACTAAAATTGCAGCAAAGTAAAAACAGAATGACAAAGTTTAGGCCAAAATAAGATTTGGAAAAATCATTCAGTTTGCTGTAGTCACAGCCATTTTAGTCTAGATTTTATAACGTGCTTTTCATATCACTACAGTCTTGTGTTTGGGAAATAAACCACATGTGGAAAATCTGATGAGGGTCACAGTGCAATGATAACAGGCCTCACAGTTTTTTTTGTTTTCAATATGGTTTTATTGGCTAACTAAATTTAGCCATTTCTGTGTACTAAAGGGATACTCTAAGCACCATAACAACTTCCCCTGCTGTCTATCCGCTCGATTCTCTGCTAAATAACAGGTAAATCAGTTTGTTTATGCAGCCCTAGTCACACATCCTCTGTCTGGGCTGTGGCTCACACACAGCTTTCCTACGTACTTCCTGAAAAAGAGGTGTATTTTTTAAACGTTACTCATTGCATATCATGTTTAATTTAGATGTTCTTATCTCCTGCTCTGTTAATTACCTGTTGGCGCATGGAGCATTTATAAACAGACACTATGTGAGTCAAAGTCAGGGGAGATGTGGTTAAGGCTGAATAAACAAAGTGATTAAAAGCAACACTGTCATGGCTGCATCCGGGTGTTTTTTAAACCCAACTCCACTACATTTTATTGTCCCTCTAGTCACCGGGAGATGGGAGGAGAGATGGGGACAGTAATTGTGTCTGTGCATCAGTATGTGTGTAACTGTATCTGTGTGTGTATGTATCTGTCTGTGTATCAGTATGTGTCAGTGTGTATGCATGTGTGTCCGTGAGTGTATATGTATGTCTGTACATCTGCATGTGTGTGTGTGGCAGTGTATGTGTATATGTGCATACATCTCCGCATTCAAATGCCAACATTACACACAAATTCACTCCTGCATTCAAACATCAACACTACATCCAAATACATCTCTGTGTTAAAACACAAATACTACACATAAAGGCATGCTTGCATTCAAATACCAAGGCTCATACACCCCTACATTAACACACACATACTCCATACACAACATTCTTACAGTCAAACACAAACACTGCTCAATGCTAAATACAACCCTGCAAGGATGGGAAAATGGTAGAGCCCCAGCTAGCAAAGCTTTGTGGCAGTTGTACGCCACATGGGGGCCTACCTTTTGGCCACCATTGAGATGGGGGGGCCATAATAATTCTTGTACCAGGGCGTTATGCGTTAGTTCAACCACTGGCCACTTTAAAGTGATTTCGGTGTTTACACCATAAATTAAATTGCAGACTTTTCCCTGGAAATTTCTGAACATGGTAAAAATACTGGTTCAATTTTCTAGGTAAAACATTTTGAAATAAGTAGCAGTATTTCGGTCTCATCCATTATCTAGTCATGCACAAAATCTACATAATTGTCAAGTAGTTTTCTCCTACTTTTTGAACAATTCATGGAGTAGAAACACACCTGGATAATTTCCTGATTGTGCTCATCTTGCAGCAACAAGAAAATGGCACATAATTTGTAGCTAGTTTTTCCATTGAAATGACTGAGAGTAACTTTGAGCACTGGCAAAGGATATTAATTAAGTGGACTTGACGTTCCAGACGTCATAAGCATAGCACTTTGCATAGCCTATGGAATGTATTTAGACAAGCACAATAGTGTAGCCCATGGAGCAGCGTAGCTAAGGGGAGTGGGCCTTGACATTGCCAGGAGACAGGCCATCTAAAGGTCAGTGGTCAGGGATTGATAATTGGAAATGGTGGGGTGGAGTTTTAAAGGGGAGTATAAGTAGTGGCCATTTTAGAACCAAGGATCACTTAAATCTAAGTTACACTTACCTGTTTGTTGTGGCAGGATTTGTGTGGCTTTTTTCTTTTGTCTCCTCTGCAGGTCAGCAAGATGGAAGATTGGCTGGAAGGAGTCCGGGCTGCTGTGCAGGAAAGGGGGATCGAATGGCTCAGGGATCGCCTGGGAGATGCTATGCCATCCGGATCTGGAGGTTCCCAGGGTCAGAGGCCGGTCCGGAAGACGAGGCCTCCGCAGCAGTTGAGCCCCAGCGCGGTTCCCGGGCCCCGGCATCAGAAGAGCCCTCCCGGAGGTCCCAATGGTGGTGAGGAGAGTGCCGGTGGGGAGGCCGCATGTGGAGGAGGTCGTGGATGGCGTCACGGCGCAACCGCGTGAACGAGCCATCAAGCGAGGATGGAGGTGCAGGCTACTGGTTCGGGAACCGAATCTGATACTGCCGAATGTTCGGGAGGCGAACGTGGTGGTATGCGAACCAGCGGACGGGCTGCAACTGCCGAACGTTCGGGAGATGAACATGGAGGTAGGCGAACTGGCGAATGGGAGACAACTGCTGAACGTTCGGGAACTGAACGTGGAGGTACCGTCACTGCCTGCCGTTCGGTTGCTGAACGGGGAGGCAGGAAAACTGCAGAACGTTCGGTTTTTGTGTCTTCTTTTGCAGGGAATGAAGGAGAAGCGGCTGCAAGTGATAGGAGTCCTGGAAAGAGGCCTGGACAAGCACGGGCCAGCGGAAGAAGGATGAGTGGTACAGCAGGCTTGGCAGCAGGTCATGGGAACGCTGGAAGCGCTGTTGGAGGAACAGGGCCAGCGGCTATACACCGTCCGGGTGAGTCGACCTCTGATGCCAATGCCCCTCCAGTGGTTGGGCCACGGGTTACCCCGGGGGTGGGCCCCGGTGTTGGCTTGGTTGGTGATGGCAGGGGGGCAGGAGGCAGACGGCCAAGGCACGGAGTGGTCCAGAAGGGTATAGTGCAGCAAGACGCCACAGAGGGTCACCAGGCAGCGGACGAGAGCGCAGCGCTTCCCCAGGATCTCCTAGACGACCTGGTAAGGGACGACGGCAGGCGAGGCAGGTAGTTAGGGAAGGTTCAGAAGGGAGTGACAGCGAGGGACAGCGCAGAAGGTTGGCACCAGCCAAGAGGACAGCGCGCAGGGCTAAAGTGCAGGGCGCGCAAGGTGCTAGGAAGAACCGGTCATGAAGCAGCCATCGGAAGGGTAGCTGACGGAGTTGACAGGGACCACGTCCGGGGAGGGATAGGGCGCCCCCTGTTGGTTCAAGGGGATGGACGCAGCAGGACGGCAGTTCCACGAGCGGGAGTTCCCCGGAGAGGAGGCGGGCTGCTGTGCAGACTCATGACCCTCGGGGGCGGACGGATAGTGGGGAGATGGGGACAGTTCCCAGGACGAGAGGGGATGGGGCAGGGTTTCTACGGCAAGCCTACCCAGGATGTCTTCTCCTTACAGGTCTCGAGGACGGTCACCCTCTGGGAGGGAGAGACCCCACGCGTCAAGGACAGCAGGACGGTCGCCAGCAGGCAAGGCGGACCCGGTTACAGGGCAGGCGTCTTCCAGGTCACCCACGGATCAGGTGAGACCCAGGGCCTCAGGAGCACGGCCCAGAGCAGCGGAACGCTTGGGGCAGGAGATCCGCAGTCAGTCAGCAACCCCACGGCCTTCGGCGGCAAGGAGTGCGGAAGGTGAGACATGGTCGTTGCAACAGTCGGGGGTGCTTAAAGATGACATTAGACAGTTAATTGATACTTGGGGCGTAGGGAGAGGGAAGGACGGTGAGTGCAGTCAGGTGTGGGCTCGGGGAGAGGTCACTGGGTCTAGTCCGGTGAGGGTTCCCGGGCCGGAGGCAGCACAGTTGGGGACAGGGGTGCGACCCCACAGTAGAGGCACCCGGGTTGGTAAATGAGAGAGAAAGCTTATTAGGGGGTGTCCTGGAGGCCGCGCGGCAGAACATTCATGTGTCTTTCGCAGGACCACTCAAGATGGAGGTAAAGGAAAGGATATGGAAAGGGGAGTTCGTGGAGCTCTTTTCGCTTCTCCCATTACATTGACCTCAAGGAGGAGGATAAAAAGGATGCTAAAAATGAGGAGGAGGAAAAGAAGTGGAGGTATAGGAAGATCCCTAAGACGTTTGGGAACTGGTGGAAGAGCCCTGTTCGCAGCTCTTCTGTTACCTGGATAGTATTTGGGAGGCTTATCGGACATACGGGGGTCTGGCCTGGTGGCGGTATGACGAACAGTTTAATCAGCGCCTGGCGGCTAATCCGGGGATGCGGTGGGACCAGATGGACCTACTGCTATGGATAAAACTTATGATGGCGCAGAAGGCGTCTCCCTTTCAGACAGGGGCCGGCACGGGCGCGTCTACCGCCGTGTCGGCCAACCAAAAACGGGGCTACTGCTGGCTGTATAATGAGGGACAGTGCAAGTGGGGGGCCACTTGCCAATTCAAGCACGAGTGCTCCGGGTGTGGAGGCACCCACGGATTTCACAGGTGCTTCAAAAAAGGGAAGTCAGCCTCTGTGGCGGGGGTGCCTGGAGGTTCCGTAGGGCCCCATGCCACTGGGGGACACACCAGTGAAGGTCGGCGCGATGCGGTCGTGGCTAAGCCACTACGATGCGGCGTTGCTGGAGGAGGGGTTCACCAACGGGTTCGTCATCCCGTTTCGGGAGCGAGTGGTGGCTCATCATCTTTGCAACCTGAAGTCGGCAGGGGAATTTCCGGGGGTGGTCAGGGAGAAGTTGCTTAAGGAGGTTCAGCTGGGCAGGGTGGTGGGGCCGTTCAGGGAGCCCCCTTTACCTAACTTGAGAGTATCACCACTGGGGGTGGTACCCAAGAAGGAGCCCGGCAAGTACTGATTCACCATCTATCCTACCCCAAGGGGTCGTCAGTTAATGACGACATTGACAGGGCACTTTGTTCGGTATCGTACACTTCGTTCGAACAGGCGGTGAACCTGGTGCAGCGAGCGGGCTGGGGGGCGTTGTTGGCAAAGGCGGATGTGGAGGCGGCTTTCCGTCTTTTGCCGATTCTCCCGAAGTGCCATCACTTGCTGGGTTGTCACTTCGAGGGGGAGTATTACTTAGATCTCTGTTTGCCCATGGGATGCTCTATATCATGCGCGTACTTTGAGAAATTTAGCACATTCCTGGAATGGGTGGTAAAACTGGAAGCGGGCACTAGGATGGTAGTCCATTACCTGGATGATTTCCTATTTGTTGGGCCTCTGGGATCGGAGGAATGTCGCATGGGATTGAGGACAGTGGAATGGGTGGCGCACGTTATTGGAGTCCCCTTGGCAAGTGACAAAACAGGGGGGCCTATGACGTGCCTGAGTTTCCTGGGCTTGGAGATCGACTTGGTAAAAGGGGAGTGCAGGCTGCCACAGGACAAGTTACTGGCACTCCGGTAGGCAGTGGCGGAGGTGCGGGGATCTAGGAAGGTTACGCTCCGGGCGCTTCAGTCTCTGCTGGGTCGGCTAAACTTTGCCTGTCGTGTGATTCCGGTCGGACGGGTTTTTAACAGGTTCCTAGCCAGGGCAATGGGGGGGGGGGAGGTGGTGTTCCCGCACCACCTTATTCGGGTATCAGTGGCCATGAAGGCTGATTTGGACATCTGGGGGGAATTTTTGCGGGATTTTAACGGGAAAGTATTTTTTGGGGAGCCGGCGGAGTCTTCTCAGGAGTTGGAACTGTTCACGGACACGTTGGGGAGTGTCGGTTTTGGGGCTTACTTTTCGGGTCAATGGTGTGCGGGTACTTGGCCAAGTGCCTGGAAGGACAGCCCGCTGATACGCAACTTGGCGTTCCTGGAATTGTTCCCGTTGGTAGTGGCGCTGTCACTATGGGGTCCACAGTTGAGGGATAAGAAGGTGGTATTCTTTTCGGACAACATGGCAGTGGTAGATGCAGTGAACGGGCTATCAGCATCCTCTATCCCGGTGGTGAGGCTTCTTCGACGTTTTGTCTTGTTCTGCATGAGGTTTAACATTGTGTTTCGGGACATCATGCTTGGCGGACTGATCAGGGATTCCCTGGCACCCGCTACCTGGACGGCGTACAGTAAGGTGTGGGGGGAATGGGACGAGTTGGTGCAGCAGACAGGGGGTCAGCCCCTCAAGGGAGGCACGGTTGGAAGCGCTGCTGTGGCTCTTATGTAGGTCAGTTACCAAGGGGGTTTCGGCAGCGGTGGTGGGGCGGAAGCTGACGGCGCTCGCCTCCTTGTTCAAATTTAATGGGTGGGAGGATGCTACCAAACATTTTCTGGTTAGACAGGCACTGAAAGGTTTCAGGAGGAGTAAAGTGTCAGTGGATTCTAGGAGGCCGGTGTCGTTCGAGTTGCTGCAGCGGGTGGTCCGGGTGCTGCCCGTGGTGTGTTTTTCAGGATACGAAGTTACGTTGTTTTCCGTGGTTTTTAGTTTTGCCTTTTTGGTCAGCGAGCTAGATAGCAGCAATCGCCAGGGGCCCGGGGGGGCTTCAGGCGATGGACGTGGATGTGTGCAGTAACAAGGTAGTGATTAACCTGAGGCGGCCAAAAACGGATGTAATGGGGAAGGGAACGTTGGTTACGTTGCGGGAACTTCCGGGTGGGAGAACTTGCCCGGTTAAGTGCGCAACTGCTTTCCTGGAGGTACGGGCAATGGCCGGGGGTTTATATTTTAAGCATGAGGACAGCTCTTCGCTATCGAAGTTCCAGTTCCTCAGCGTTTTTCGAAAGGCGTTGGCAAGGTTGGGAGTGGACCCGGGCCAATTCGGGACACATTCTTTCAGGATTGGTGCGGCCACTGAAGCGGCGAGACTAGGCTTGGGTGACGAACGGGTGAAAAAGATTGGCAGGTGGGAGTCGCTGAGGTTCAGGTCTTACGTTAGGCCAGACAAGTTGGTTTAAGGTGGAGGATGGTTAATGGGGAATGTTGGTTGGTGGTTGTTTTGTGGTTGTCTATGTTTGCTTTATGTTTTACAGGTTGGATGGCATGGGTGGTCGCAACGGAGAGCTGCAGTTCGACGTCACGGTCTACAGCTGGGCTTTCCAAGTTCTGTGGTGCAGCTTTGGTGGTTTGGTTACCGGGGCTGGGGTTGGAATGTTATATGTGGGAAAATGTTTCACAAAATTCTTTTGGGACAGGTTCCGGACATAGTGGTGCTTCACGCAGGGGGCAATGATGTGGGGTCGTTACCTCAAAAGGTTTTGCTCGAGTGTATGAAGAGGCATGTGGACAGGTTAAGGGAGTTAGTGCTATGAGTTATGGTAGTATGGTTGGAAATGGTTCCGAGGTTGTATTGGGGGCACGGGTGGAATCCCTCCGCGGTGGCGAAAATTAAGGGTAAGGTTAACAAGGTGATGGCAGCGTAGGTTCGAGCTCGTAGGTAGCTCCAAACCAGGGTGTGTATGGGGTGTCTCGGTATGCCCCTACACTTGTGGTGCCCTTTGGTGGCAATGGATGGTGCCCTTCGGTGGCAATGGTCATGTTTCATGTTAAATAAAATGTTCAATGTTTGGGTATTATGTTATGTGGGGGTGTGTCATTGTCAAGGGGTTAATTTGTAAAATGCAGGATGTTAATTGTGCAGGCCAACGTTGGCCTTCTGTTGACAATGGCCTTTAAATTTATGTTAATTACAAATAAAGCTGTGATATAATTTTGCCAAAACCATGGTGTCAGTGCTTTATTGGGGATTGGGTATTTGGTGCGGGTTGTTAAGCAGAGGCCGACAAGGCGACTGTGCCCA